AATTCGCGATTTTCACGATGTGTCAAGTTGTTCACGAAATTTTAATTTTAAAGTATTTTTTGAGTGGTACTGCTATTACATTTTGTCTTTATCCGTCCGTCTGTTTGTTTCTTATCACTCTACTTTCAATCAATTTCTATTTCCCTCCATACACCTCTGCAGTGAAAAGCTCTGGGGTTAAACTATACTTAAAAATGAGACACTAGTACATGTAAACTTCCATGAGAACGTTAGTCAATAAAAGTACATGACACAGAGCGACTCAAATCACGAATTTAAAAAATCAGTGGTAAACGAAATGGATGGGTGGTTGGTGGGTGCTTTGGTGCGTTTTGCTCCTTCTTTCCTGATAAACATCTATCGTTTTTATCTCCCCTCCTTCTCTGCTTTGTATGTTACTCTCCAGTTTCACCTCTAATCTTCAGCATGTATATGACCTGTTTGTGTTGCAAATGCCGTAAAACTCTTACTAAAAGTAAAACCAAACGAAATAGGCAAATAAGAGAAAAAAAAGAGATCGCAAAGGAGCCTGGTGTACAGTATTATGTAGCCATAGACGTAATAAATACAAACCAAATTCGATCTTAAGTCTCTGAATTAGTTTACGGTTCGGAGGGGAGGGGGGGTACCACGCGGTTTGAACTTATGTACACTCTTTTTTTCTCTCACACGTGTTTCAAAGTATTCCATCTATCTAGCCCGTTTACGCGTACTTGAAATCGTATGCAAGAAACGATACAAGAATAATAGCTAAGATTCGTGGGCGCTCCCCCAAAGAAGCCAGAATTGGATCGCCCCTTCCTTCCAGATGGAAAAACTGTTGCTCATCTGTCCGTTCTGTAGAAGGGTACTAGATCTATACAACGATATACAATGCTATATTTGTTGTTCGAGTACATATAAGAAAAAATATACAACCGGCAAGTAATTAGTGCTTGATTTCGTGATTACATCCTGGTTCTTTCGTTGTGAATTCTTCAACATGAACTGTTTATTCTATAGACCATCTACAAAAAAATCTTCCCTCC